CTCCTCTCGGTGTTTCCTCTGGAACTTGTTGCTCCCCTCATGGCAACGGAAAGAAAGCATCAAACCCGACAAAGACTTTCCTGCTTCTGTTTCCTAAACAGCACCTGTGAGGTGCATGAGGTCAGCAGTCAGAGCACCATAAAATATATTGCTAAGGCTTTTCATTTATTATTTTTTTTATTGGGGCTTTGTTCTTGAGGTGGTTATCGTCGTTTCTTGCCTTGTTTCATCCTCACACCAGGGGCGCGGCTCACCAAAGCAGTTTTGTTGTGTCACTGAAGTCGGTTCAGATCAGGATTGCCATCTTATCATCTGCCTGCACCCCCTCCCCCATGTTATCTTAATATCAGACGCACTTCTTGTTTTCTGGAAAGTACTGAAATCTTTTCAGACAGATTATGAGCTTCTGCTCTCTGCTGACTCGCGTCTTCTTTCAACACGTCAAACTCAAATTTGGTTTAATTCAAAACTATTTTTTTTAACCTCTGTAACATTACAATAGCAGCTGCTTTCATTCTTTATGAGGTGGCACGGTGGAACAGTGGTCTGGCAGTAGGAAGGTCAGAGGTTTGCCTCTTGTTTGAAGCCTTTATGTGTGGAGTTTGCATGTGTGGGTTCCTCTTACAGGTAAAAAATATACGTTAGGTTGTTTGATAACTCTGAACTGTCCTCAGGTGTGAGAGTGTGGTTGCTTGTTTGTCCATACGTCCCTTTGGTGGACATGACCTGTCCAGGTTGTCCCCCGCCTCGTGGACAGTGACTGCTGGAGACAGGCACCAACTTTCCCTGTGACCCTACACAGAAAACAAGTTAAATAAAATGGATGGATTGATTCCTGTTTCAATCAAATTTACAAAAATCATCATAAGCAGCCATCAATTAATTTCAATACAATCACATAAAATAGATACAACAAATTAATTCCAAAATCTGTCTCAGCCTGAATACAGATGTTGCTGAAGTGATCTCATCCCTTTTAGATGTTTCACCTCGCTTTATTTGATTTCTCATGTTTACAACTTATTTTTAAAACATGCTAATATTTCCTTCTAGACAAGCTTACATTTCAAATAGCTTTTGAATGAAGCAATCAGACAGACAAATATTCAATTAGACCGGTCCATGTCTGGACCGCAGGAGCATTAACCGATTCAGGGTCTGGAGGATGAGATTACTGACGGCTGACCTCCATCATCTCATTTATTTGCTAAATCCTGGACCAGTTCCTCTGGCGGGAACTGGCCTTTCTTGCTGCCTGTGCTGACGACACACTTTCTGACAACACTCCGTCGTGTTGCATTTTTGCCAGTTCTGAGGTCCAACTTTGGCTAGCCCTGCGGTATCCAGGTAAGTCTGAAGAATGGCTGCAGTTCAGATGTATTGTAAGCTCAGGAGGGATTGGTAGTCCCGTGATGTTGGAAGGTTTTTGTCAAACCCAGATTGAATGCTGTTGATGCCAGGTTCTATCAGGAACCGGCAACAGTTTCATGTCTTGGGAATCGCTGTAACATTCAGGAAAAAGTTCCTGAAGTCCTGATGCAGAACCTAAAAGTAAATAGTAAATGGACTGTATTGTATAACGCCTTTCTATTTTATGAAGATACTAAAAGCACTTTACAACATAATCTGTGCCCTCATTTACCCATTCATACAGCACTCTACTATATAAAGAATAATCAGTGCTTTCAGATCACATTCATACACCGATGGGACACACATCGAAGGCAATGAGGGGTTCAGTGTCTTGCCCAGGGACACTTCAGCATGTGTCTGCTGATGGAATCAAGCCCCCAACTCTCCCATTGGAGAACGACTGATCTAACCACTCAGCCACAGCTGCCCCCAAAAAGAAAACGTAAAGTTGACTTCAGTTCCTCTACCTGCCTGGATCCACCTCTTCATGCTTCCTGTGAACCTATTTCCTGTTGATGAAAGCCTTAAAATGCTCCTCCTCTGTTTCAGGTCCATCTGTTGTGATCCCTCCCTGACCCGGAGACGAAAAGAGGCCATCATCACCGTACGGTGACGTTGCTCACTGCGGGGAATCAGTCTGGTATTAAAGATTCAGGTAGGAGAGGCAGAGGTTCCTCAGCCTCTCCAATTAATCTAAACTAGTGGAATCACCTTGGACCAAAGAGAAAGCTTTTGACAGAACCACTCACTCACCAGCGATGCTCAAGAAGAAGCCAAACGAGTGGCTCCCTCTCACTCAGGAGACGTGGCTTCATGGAGCAATCTGTTTGAAATGAACCAAGTCCTAAAAGTTATTCTTCTCTTCACCAACAGTATGAGAAAGGGAATGACTTCAGGAAAAAAAAAAGTGTAAAAGACAACTGCCTCTATGACACTGTCACACACACATTTAACAGCATTATTGCATTATAACTTATAATTGACTGTCTCCTGGTGTGTTGATCAAATAAACAGAATTAATGCTTCTAATAAATTAAAGGGCTCTCATTCTTGATGGAGAGGTGACTGTTTTGATCAAACCTTCAATAAAACACTTGCAATGATATTATGCTCAGAGCATGTGTTGTAAAAGACTCTCAGCTACTACCACATGAAATATTGTCAAAATGTCTATGAAAGTGGCTAAACTACAGAAATGTTTTTGTTTCAGCTTATGTTGATTAGCTGCGGCGGACATCTTGAATTGAATTAACTCCAAAGTTAATCATTTGTAAATGTTCATCCGATGATTATTTTGTGAAAGGTTTTTTTTTAATAGCTCAAGAGACATTTAGCTAACAAATAGCAAATATGACACCAAATGATACCGCTGAAGGTTTAATCAAAGATCTTTCATAATGAGAGCCACTTGGCGTAGAAGATGTGGACAAAGAGAGAGACTAAGCCGCTAAAGCTACTTTGCATATTTTTAAGGTCATTTAACAGTCAACAATGGTGTACCACAAGGCACAGTCTTAGGACCCATCCTCTTTACAATCTACATAGGTAATGTAGGTCAGAGAATCCCTGATGCAGCCTTACATTTCTATGCTGAAGATACAGTTGTTTATTGTCGAGCTTAAACAGTTGCTAAGGCTTTCCAGCTTTTACAATCCACCTTTGACATCATCCAGTCAGATTTGTTCCGTCTCAAACTTGTCCTAAATGCCGACAAAACCAAAGGGATGCTTTTTTCAAACATGAAGTCAGTCACAGCAGTTCCTCCTCTGATTTTATCCTCAAATGGTGTCCCTATTGAGTTTGTCGATTCCTATAAATATTTGGGTATCTTGGTCGACTTGCATCTCTCTTTTAAGCTCCACGTGGAAAACCTAGTAAAGAAACTGAAAGTTAAAGTGGGATTATTTTTCAGAAATAGATCCTGTTTAACTCTGAATGCTAGGAAACGCCTTGTAACAGTTACTTTCCTTCCCTCCACTGACTACGGTGACATTATTTACAAGAACGCTCCTACAAGAACCCTGCAGATGTTGGATGCTGTCTATCATGGTGCTCTAAGATTCATAACTGGCTGTGATTATTGTACCCACCACTGCACCCTGTATTCACTGGTTAACTGGTCATCTTTAACTTCACGCAGACTCTCCCACTGGTACATTTTCATCTTTTAAATCACTTCTTGGTCTGCTGCCTTCATACATCTCCTCCTACATGTCTCTGCGTGAGTGCAGCTACAGCGTGCGCTCTCAGGACATTATTACCTGCAGTGTTCCCTCAGTGAGAATTGAACTAGGGAAAAGGGCCTTCTCCTACTCCGCTCCTGTTTCCTGGAATATCTTACAAAAAGACCTGAAGCTCTCGACCTTGACCTCTCTAAGTGGCTTCAAACATCTGCTAAGTTCCTGTGAAAAACCAACGCAGACATGTTCCTGTTTTTAGTTTTCTACACCGCCTTATAATCTAGCCTTTTTTTGCTACTTTTTCTTTTTGACTGTCCTTTTCGTAGCCATTTTATTTTAATTTCTTAAAAATAAATAAATAAATAAAAATATGTATGCCTCTTTTATTACTGTCTATTGTTGCTGTTTTCCATTGTTGTCATCACTCTTTGTTGAAATCAGGTCTCTCTTGTAAATGAGTCCCCGAGACTCAGTTGGATTAACCTGTATAAATAAAGGTTGAATGAATAAAAAAAAAAAAAGTCAGTTGACTGTGGCAGCCATCTTGGATAACTTAAAAAAAAATTAGTTCTAAATCCACTGAAAAACATGATTGACAAAAAAAAAGAAGTTTCGTTGTGCCTCAATCTGAAAATGACCTTTTCTCTGTGAAGGACTGACGTCCCACTCAGGCCTCACATCATGTTTTCTTCCCACTTCCTTCATATTTACAGCTTTTTTTCTATCTCCTCCTCCTTCAGTGTGGAACTACAAGGAACTAAAAGCAGAGTCACAAAGCCGAGGAGAAATGAAGCTATTTTCACTTCTGCACAAAGTAAAACTGCAGACAGTAGTTAAACAGTTTATGTTAAGAGCACATACAAATCTGAAATCAAATTGATCTGTATTTTTATTCTAAATGAAATGACTAAAGGACACAGTCTCACACATCGACAAACAGTGGCAACAACAAGACACACAACACAAGTAGAGCTGCACTGACGCAGATTAGGATGTCACCTGCGTTTCTCCACTTTGAGGGTTTTCAAGCACGTCCCACTGGGAGAAGACACGCCAGGAACTCACTGGAGGACTTAGGTGTCTTCTCTGACCTGAAAGCACCTTGGAGTTACACGAGTTGGAGAGTGTTTATGGAGAGAAGGAGGTTTGGGCATCCCTGCTGACCTGTTGCCTCCGTGACTGGACTATAAGTGGCAGAAGGTGGATGGATGGAGAACAACCAGTTGAAAGTCACTGTCTGTCCAGTTACATTACTGGAGTTGTGATGATGATCTGATCTCAAACAAATTCAAAGTATAATCCTTAAAGACCTTCTTTAGACACTTCTAAATCACTGAAGTTTGCTACAAACCACAGACCAATGAGAGTGATTCTTCTAATGAGACTCCTACGGCTCTGTTTCATTCCTCAGAATACTGTTGGTCCGGTCAGCAGGTCTGTGTCCTCAGTCAGAGCGTCTCCTGTCTGCAGAGCTCTCTGGACGTTCTGCCAGAAGACTCCTGGGTGTTGTGCAGCCTGAGGCCAGCTCAGGTAGGTGCGTTTCTTTACCAGCTTCCTCAGGCGGTAGTATGGAGACAGATGATGAGGAGGGATCTCCTCCAGAAACAGCAGGATCAACACATCCTTCTGTTCATCAAACAGACGAAAGCTGCAAGAAGGCAGAAGAAAAGAGAAATGGTTTCTGATATTATCCAGCCATTTCTCAAATTTACCCCCTGGGAATAATAAAGTATCTAATCTAATCTAATCTAATCTAATCTAATCTAATCT